TGACTAATATAAATCCTAACTACCGTCAGGCTTTGACCAGCACGGTTACAACTCTAACTCTCGCAAATAAATCAGATATTAATATTCTCAAACTAATAATATCAAGTCGTCCACTCACCCCAAGTGGGTCACTGACTCACTACCCAACTTGACACCAACACACCTTGAGCACCAATCTCACACGACACCGATGTCACCCAAATCACTGGACGTCTCACTAGACACACGCTAACCTCACTGTCCTGGATCCACGACTCGAATGTCCTGCTCGGCTATCCGGTAGTCCCAGGATACCCAAGCTTATCCGAACTGATAAGCCGGGTCAAAGGGTGCTAGCCAGTTTCGCCGCCGCCGCTTGCTTACCTCAACAATCGGTGCGCGGCCAAATAGCAAATATTTACCCCCCTAGGAAAAAGGCTCGTTACACAATCATAATCAATGTAATGAGTAAACATAACAGTAGTACTAACAATTAATTATTCTTAAGGGTTTCTTCCGTATTTAACAAGATGATATTGTTTATCAACTAGATTCTGCTTGTTTATTAAATCTGTGTAAACATGGGTTGCAACACAGAAAACATACTACCTACTATAACCCAGAATGCCAACCGCATGGTAAAAAGCATTAAGTGTAAAAAGTGTTTTGAGAGAGCTTTGCCTGTCAATTCGTAGGCAGCGCCACCAGCGTTGCTATGCTGAGTGCATGGTTTTTTACCATGCGGTTGGCATTCTGGGTTATAGTAGTATGTTTTCTGTGGCTGCAATCACTTATATAATTTTGTATGGCAGTAGGATGAAATAACAAAAATTGAATACAAAACCAGTGTTTATTTAACATAACTGTCTTTATAACGATTACTAAACGCTCACACAGATCACATGTTACAAAACAAAATGGTCTTTGTCAATTTTTACCTTTATCCCAAGTTTGACTTTTTTGTTCTTTCTACCGTTTCCCTTTTGCAAGGTGATCTTGAAAAAAAAAATGTAGGCCTAATTACATACATACTTGTACCGTACACACATACCGACATACAGATAGTGTCACGGTGCGTGGCGCCTCGCTGGAGCATGCGCATTGAGAGCTTTCCCCCACTACGCCTCGATGTACGGTACAGTCACGTTCAAATACTGAAGTTGTGAACTAGCATCAGCTGTCAAATTAGTTTGCTTTATGTTTACGTTTTTGTATTTTTCTGTCTCTCTCGCAGTGCCTCCCCTACACGCCAAGCACGGTGAAACGGTCTGTACTTGTAGTTATTCCATATGCAACAATTAATTTCTTGTCTCCTTTTAGGAATATCAAATCAAATTATCCTTTATTCATTTTGCACATAAATACAAGAATAGTGTCAATACAATAATAGTGACAAAACATATCTTAAAAATACTGTACAAGAGTCAGTGGAAAAAATCATTTACCTTAAAACAGCATTTATTGCATTAAAACTTAAATAACTGCTTTTTAAACGATTTAAGGGAAGCTGCAGATTTATTCGTAAAACAACACCAGAATAACACCAGTGGGGAGAAGATTTTAAAGTTGAAGATTTGTGTTTAGGGTATAAAATGCAGCTTTTGTGTCGGGTATTATATTTATGACTGTCCGAATTAACAGAAAATTTGGAAATATTTTGTTTCATAAATATTAACAAACTATAGATGTACAGACTGGGAAAGGTAAGAATATTGTTGCTTTTAAATGTATTTTCACAAGAACCCCTAGCTTTGATAGAGTAGGCCTAAATTGTTCTAATGATTCTTTTTTGCTATTTAAAAATTTTTTCCCTTTTGTCGGAATTCCCTCAAAATATTATTCCGTAATTAAGATAAGGATACACATATCCATAGTATACCATCATAAGAGTGGAAATATCAGCTGTTCTAGAATGAATGAGTTACAAAATATGCTTTATTTAGCTTTTTGATGACGGTTTTTAAGTGAGTTTTCCAGGTTAATTTATGATCCACTGTTATTTCAAAAAAATTGGTGCATCTAGCAAGGTTGCAAGATAGAGTAGTGTTTTTGTGCAAAGAATTGTTGTTAACGTATTTTTTAAGTTAATTAAAAGATACTTGGATTGATTTAGTAAAAGTTATCTCTATTTGTTTGGCAGATTCGTAACAATAACATAAATAAATAAAAATTCATATGCTTTAAGAGAGAATTTCCAAGTATTCAATTCCAAATTAATATTTAATACTTACTTGTAAAAAGAAAGGTTGCAACCTCTACTCCATCTTTACGTTCAATTGTATGCAGCGCAACTCTTAACCATTGTATTTTATTAACATTTTGAAACTTAAAAACAAACTAGGCACTAGTTATCACATGTATTTCAAAAACTTAGTCTTTCTCGTAGTAGACGCCAATACAAACAGCCAGGGTGCCAAATCACACATTCGCGCGTCTGACGATTAGCATGTGGCATTAAAAGGCGGGAAATTAAATGTGGGAAATGAAGGAGGATAATTAAGTAAACTTGTAAAGGCATTTCAATAAAAGTAATCATTTACAACAAAGGAAACTTAAAAACAATCTAATTACATTACGCATCATAATTATTAATCCAATCATATTAAAAAAAACTTCCAGTGTTTGTATGTAGTCGCATGGTTGTTGCTCAGTTCTTGCCCAGTCAGCACCTGCGCGTCTATGGATACTCTCTCGCATCACACTCGTGTGTGCGACCGGATTTCAAACCACAGTGCTTATGGACAGCGCGCAATCCAGTAGTTATATATCGATGGTGAGAACAGCGTTTTAGCAAATTCCCCATAATAGGGAATAAACTATTACTGTAGGTCTCATTGTAAGACCTGGACCCAAGACCGATTTACTTTTTTGTTTTGAGGTCACTAGAGGCCAAAACACCATCCATTCAAATTCATAATATATATATATATATTTACACATATATATTTATACTAGTAGTACGCTTATTCTGCGCGTAACGGGATGAGTGAACATGAGCGCAATAATGAAAGAGTCCAGCAGTCCACCCACACCTAGCATACTTACCGGTGTCACTGGTGAACACAATAATGTTATTTGTATGGGCAAATCAACCCATGAGTCGGGGCAAATAATGGTGAGTCGTTGGCTCAGTCGGTAGCGTCACGCAGACTTCGGGCCCAAGGCAGTGATGTCGTGGGTTCGGATCCTGGTCACTGCCACTAAATTTTATCAGTACAGTTCACCTTTGTCCTGTACCGGCTCACCCCTTGCTTTGCTGTAAACGATCCACGCACGGGCGCTTAGTCTATGTGGACGGGCTAATGCAAGGTTAAAATACCCCCGCCGCAGCAAACCTGCAGACTAAGCGAATTTCCATTTGACTGATTGGATTTACACTGAAATGTCTACTTAAAAATTTAACATTTATTCCCGATTTAAATAGAATTAGTTTAAAAAGTACTTAGGTTTGCTGCATCAGGGAGGGTAAAACTGTTTTTGTTTTTTTTTTTTTGTAAAATGCTAATAGTTAGTAAGAAATAAAAAATTTTCCAAATTCGATCAAAATATGTTCATAAACAAGCAAACTACAACAGTTTACTTATTCTCCATAAGAATAACATGGGAATTTTAAATTTACAATTTTTTGAAATTCTCTCCGTAACCATTAGGCGCATAATAACGCTTCAATATTCTAAATTATTTGTTTTTTTAAGCTCTACAAAATGGTTTAGAAAGAAATTGCAAAATTTTATGTTTTTTGAGTCAAAAATGGGAAAAACCTATTTTTACCCCATAAAACCCCCCATAAACCCCCGTTTCCATGGTCCGATCATGCTGGATCGCGAACTCGTTCGAATAAACGTAGGTTTACACGTTTGTACCAAATTTCATCAAAATCGGATCATTTTTGCTCGAGTTATCGTGCTAACGGACACATATATATATATATATATACTCGCCTTTGGCTCGCTGGGGGCTCCGCCCCCAGGCCCCCTAGCTGTTAGTCGTCATTCAGAAATTTAGGAAGGGGTGAGAGGCCATCACCAAGAAGCCGGAGAAATTTCAAGCCCGTAGCACACCTAGAAGTGGTCTAGAAAGCACTCTCCGCATCTATAAATTCTTTGTGGGGTTGTAATAGCGAAAATCGATATTGAAGTAATAACCATTTCACAAAATATTCGAGTAGATTGATAAGTAGAGAATAGTTAAGCATTATATTAAGTAAATAGTTCATCGTAAATATTCATGTATATGTTTATGAAAATAGATGAAGTTATTTTTGTTTCCCTGTCAGTTAGTTACAAACTGTATGGCATATCCAGTTCCGCCACGGGGAGGCCAGGAAACGTAGGAACCATATTAATTTACAATTATTTATATTAACAGTTATAGTATTTCAAGTAAAGAGATGTTAGTAAATATTTATAAATTTATTAATGAAAATAGATCAAGTAATGTTTGTTTCCCTGTCGGTTAGCCATAAACTGCAAGGCATATCCAGTTCCGCCACGAGGAGGCCAGGAAACGTCGGAACCATATTTACAATTATTAACACATGTACAAGTCAGTAAAATTTTGTATAAGATAAGTAGATTGATAAGTGAATAAGTTGATAATAGTAAAGTGTTATATTAATAAAATAGATTATAGTAGATATTCATGTATATATTTATGAAAATAGATCAAGTAATGTTTGTTTCCCTGTCGGTTAGCCATAAACTTTATGGCATATCCAGTTCCGCCACGAGGAGGCCAGGAAACGTCGGAACCATATTTACAATTATTTACAAATGTACAAGTTAGTAAACGTTACTAACTAGGTACCTAAAGAAATATAAACAAAAACTTAACTAACTAATAAAAAGAAGAAAAAAATATATACAACAACGGGGACTTTTGATAAGGCAGGCCCCCTATCATACTGCCAAACTAAAATACTAAAAACACACGAAAAACGACTTATTTCTAAAGAAAAAACCAAAAGAAAATATATACAACAACCTACAGCTAAAGTCAAGTCAGGGAAAGTCAAGTCAGGGTTAGAGGAGGAGATCGTCATACACGATATTCTTCGCGTATGCGATTCCACCTTGGACACGGTCGGGACGGACAAGGACGACTATATGGTCTGGATGCCTGACTCTACTGAGCAGGACGTACAACTGACCATGAGTGAAACAGTCACTGCGAAGATCGACTCCGACGCGATCAATCGTCTGGCCCTGGCTTTTGTGGCCAGTCATGGAATATGCCAGCATGAGAGGAAACTGAAGACGGCGGACACGAAGCGGTGACCCCTCGACGAACGGGAAAACGAATTGAATCCGGGGAATACAAATCGGATCATGTTGTCCAGGGAGTCGCACTGTGATCAGACGAGGTCTTATTGCAGTCACGATCACTTTAGTGCCGTTTACGAGTCCGCTGTCAATGTTCAAGTTCCTCATGACGAGACACACGGAGCCAATCTTGAGTCGCAGGACATGGTCTGGTACACCCTTGCCAGTAGCTTGGTTCAACAAGTGAACGTCTACATCCATACCATCGTCGTTCTCCTTGTCGACGGAATCCGCACTCCTCAACTCATGAACGACGCCGTCCATCAGGTTGAGAACGGTGTTGTTGATCTGCTGGACATTGGCGTTCATGGTTGAAAGAATGGACCTGCCAGCAATTCTGTCTGTGTGTTGTAGGTCACAAGCAGGGAACACAAACTCGATCAAGTCGGGAAGGGATGTCACGTATTTTACACCGGACAGTGGGATCAGGGAAACAGAGTCACGGCCTTCCCTAAAAGGAACAGATGTAATTGTTCCATTGCCTACTTGAAGGAGGAAGTCAGAGTAGGCAGTGGACCCAGAAGTCCGGTGAGGAGTGGAGAGAGAAAAGATTTTGAAACTTGACCACAGAGATGACGCACAAAGTGATACACAGGCAATGTCGGCCGGAGTACGAGCCTTGGCAACAACTGGTGCGATCTGACGGAAATCTCCGCAGCAGATAAAGATCTTATTCCCGAATGGCTCAGGTGAATTCATGAGGTCACGCAGAGATCTGTCGATGATTTCAAAAATGTACCGGTGAGCCATCGGGGCCTCATCAAAAACTATGAGCTGTGCGGCTCTGATGAGTTCTGCCCGCTGAGATCCGTTGGTCAAGTTCCAATATCCAGTGCCATCGCCGAGATCGAGTGGTAGCCGAAACATGCTATGTGCTGTCGTGCCACCAGGCAGATTACCAGCGGCAATGCCGGAGCTAGCGACAGCCTCTTAGAAAAGATAATTGGCTTTATTTTTTGGGGTTCAGTAAGTGAAGAAAAATTTGGTTTTTGAATATATTTTTTTTTATTTGTAATCACCACTTTGGTGCAGTTTTTAATCAGTTCTATTTGGGGGTTCAGTGTTTTTGGGACATCAGTGAAGGGCTAAAATGCCGTAAATGTGAAGTTTTTCAGTGTTATTTTGTGTGAGTCTATGCGTCATGTGCGGGTTGCACGTGAGTTCGATATGTGTTCGTGTTTGGTTACACGAGTGTTCGATGCGTCATGTGCGGGTTGCACGTGAGTTCGATATGTGTTCGTGTTTGGTTACACGAGTGTTCTATGCGTCATGTGCGGGTTGCATGTGAGTTCGATATGTGTCCGTGTTCGGTTACACGATTGTTCTAAGCGTCAAGTGCGGGTTGCACGTGAGTTCGATATGTGTTTGTGTTCGGTTACACGAGTGTTCTTTGCGTCATGTGCGGGTTGCACGTGAGTTCGATATGTGTTCGTGTTGGGTTACACGAGTGTTCTATGTGTCATGTGCGGGTTGCACGTGAGTTCGATATGTGTTTGTGTTGGGTTACACGAGTGTTCTATGCGTCATGTGCGGGTTGCACGTGAGTTCGATATGTGTTCCTTGAGTTTATTGTGTGTCGTGTTTGGAAGCACGAGAGTTATTGCGTTACGTGCTGGATGCACGAGGTATTATGTGTTGTGCTGGCTGCACAGGGTTTTCATTTGTTATGTGCTGGGAGCACAAGATGAATTTTTGTTATGTGCTGAGTGCATAATGTATTTTGGTGCTGTATGCTATGTGCTAGCTGTACAAGGTTTTTATTGGTCCTGTGCTGGATGCACATGTGTAATGTGTGTTTCAGATGTTGTTGCTGTGCACAAGTGTGTGTATTTGCCTGGTTAAATTTGTGTTGAATCTGGGATCTTGTAGTTCCCAGGTTTCTCGAAGATGCGATTCTTTGGTTGCAGACCTGCTATTTCCACTCTAGAGTGTATATTGTGCGAATAATGTGGCAGACACATGTTGTCAAACTAGTCTGTTTCAGCTCTTTATGCGCAGTAGATGCAGTGAATAATGGATCAATAGATTATATTTTGTAGAAGTAGTATGAGGGATAATTAATTATTTGTAGTGTATTATGGTGTATTGTTTTAGAAATATATTTGAGCTTAGACTTTAATTTGATAGTAATATATTTTTTTTCAGATGGGGATTTTTACAAATGGTTAATACTGTTAATGATTAGAGTAGGTGTTCATGTTGATATTTCAGAGTATAGCACGAGCAAAGTTGCGGTGAGAGAAGTCAGCATGTTTGTAGGCTGAGGAATGCTGAGTGTGGTGTAAATGGCCTCTCTGTGACCTGACCTTGCTGAGTGCTGGCCGTGTTTTGTTACAATGTTTACCTTTTAATACGGATGCTCTAGAGTTTGCTTTGGGAAATCAGCAATGCATGAATGTTTTATTTTGGGAACAAATTTTTGTTTTTACAGGTGATAGATTGTTGGATAAATTTTAAAAGGGAAATTGGTTTTGCTTATGGGTTAGTTTGTAACGATTTGGGCCCAAATCATTTTTTTTTCAGCAATCATGTTTTTGAATTTTTATCAGAGAATTACACATGCAATTTTTCAAGTTCATTTTCTGAATTTATGTATTGCCTTTTAAGTTTTTGAAGTATGTGATTTAAAAATGTAGCCTACTGAAGTAAAATGTTTCACTTGTTTTAACACCAAAGCAAAGTAGGGAGTGATTTGAAATGTTTGTTTAGCTATTATTTTTTATAGTAATAAATTTTAGTTGTGTTTTTAAAGATACTAAGGAAAATTGAATTTGATTCGGGAGATGATTTTGTTTTGTTAGGTAAGAGATAAATCGCATGACTCCCCGAAAATAACTGTATTGGGAAATAATGTTTTAAATGTTGCAATAGTGTCCTTTAGTGAATTTAATAGTCTCACAAAATTTAAAGACAAAGACAGATTATGTATTAAAAGAATATTTTATTGAGATATATTTTGTTGTTTAGATTTTTAATTATCAGGGACTTAAATGGGAGACAAATTGAATATTTTTGTTTATTCAGAATTAAATTAAATTATACTAGAAATGAAAGACTGTTCCATCATTTATTGTTTTAAATACTTTGAAAAAGGTTATATTTGAAGAATTTGAAGTAAATCAATCTGAAATTATTTATAATGTTTTGTTATTTCATCGTATAGGCCTATGATTTGTTAAGGTAACACATTCCAAACACTTCTCTTAGTTTCAATAATTTTTGTTTTAATGTTGGTTGTGTTGTTTTGTTCTTAATGTGAGTTTGAGAATTTCTTTAAAAGTCTAGGGTTTTTTTATAAATTATATGTTGTATTTGTGAGTTATATGTTTGTGTAGGCTTCCTATTTACCCATCCCCACTGACCAACTGTATACAAGGCTACAAGAACTTCATGATTTGCTGTTTTATCTTCAACATCGTGATCCGAGGAAGAGACTTTGTCAAACTCAATGAATACTGGGGAAAAGCAGCTGGTGGCAAGGGCTTTTAAGAAGAGGAGCACTTCAGGCTGCAGTACACTCAATCAATGGCAAAAGCAGTCCAACATCATCGTCAACCAAAGTCGATTCATCATCAATGTTGTCAAGGAACGCTGGATGGACTACAGACTATCGACACCGAAGTGGGAGACATCGCAGAAGACATGGCTGTGGTCAAACATCTGAAGACCAACGACTGTTCGAGGAGGCTTTATCGACGCAACTGCTGAGGAAGTCCGCGAACAGTTGGTCAGTTCTTCCCCTCCTAAACCTTATTTTAATTTTGTTTAGGTACAATTTTAAAAGATTTTAATCAGTTTTTGTTATTAATTTTTTTTTCTCTCTGAGTGGATGTATCTATGTAGTTGAGACGCTGGGGACATCGTCTGGAGGAAATGGGGGGATGTAATGGAAGGGATCGAATATTGTAAAGAGGAAGTGTTTGGCAATGTTGTGTGAGTAGGCTGGTAGTGTTGTTAAACAATAACTTGTTGTGCTGACCTACTGAAGGCTGTTGCTTTAAGTAGGCCAGTGCACTTGATCAAGGGGTCAGTTTTGGTGGGTAGTGTTTGTGAGGTGCACCGGAGGACAGGGTCCTGCTGGGGAGCTGGAGCCCAAGGCCCTTGGCTTTGGGTCCAGGTAAGAAAATGTTAAGGGTTTTCAAAATTGGGGTTTAGTGTCTTTTCCAAATTGGGGTTTAAGTTACTAAATTATTTATACAGTTCCAGTCTACTCTACCTTTGTGTTCTTTGTGTTGTTTTGAGTATTTAATAAAATTGGGTTTTGTAAGCGAGTGCTGAGTTTCATTCCTGAGCTACGTCACCCAAAGTAACAGTACGTATTCCAAGGGGAATACGACCGTTACAATAGCGACCTGGTTACGACTACGGACGTAAGCGAGGATTACGTGTATTAGGAATGTCTTGCCGTAGCCTCCGGGTCCGTCAAGGAAGATCAATTTTGTTGATCGACGATCGACTTGGCCCTGTAGTAGAGACCGAACATAATCGAAGACCGCCCTCTGGTCGCGGGAAAGTTTAGGTTCCCACTCATCTACAAGTGATCTCTGACGATTTTCACCGTACATGAGAAGTTCCCTCCCCAGTTCGGTCGTGTCGTCGTCTACAGTAGGGAGACCGTGATCGGCCAAGCAGGATCCCTGACGTCGAAGGCTTCGATCGATCTCAATCAGAGCCAGCTTGTACGCAACCTCGTGATCAAGAGGATTCCGCTCCAAATGGTCTTCGCACAATGCGTCACGGAAAGCATCCCACAAGAGGGCCGCAGGAGCTCCCATGTTGCACAGAAGGACAAAGAAAGAGCGGAGCCTCGGGCCGACCATGAAGCGAGCTGCTTCCTTGAGGGCTTGGTGGTACTCGTCCTCGTCCTCAACCAAACCGAGGGTGCGCGCAACCTGTTGATATGTCGTGCAACCATCACCACCACGAGCAAGCAGGTCGGCGTATCCCCGGCACGGAATGACCATCAAAAGGAGCCTAAGAAAGTACTGCTCGCTTCTGTTTGGCGAGACCCAGAAGAGACGACAGATCTTTTGACCACGCTTTCTTGAGGTAAGGAAATGCTTGCCGTCTGGATGGTCGTACACCTCAGCATTACTAGGGCGTTTGTTATGAATAACGTACTGCTCGAAAAAAGACTGGTAGGTTAAATCGTCGAATACTGAGTCAAGAGGCCTATTGAAATACAAGAGCAGGTCAGAGGTAGCTCCAGAAGTGGCGTGTGTCAAGTTGTTAGGGCGGAAGCACACAGTCTGTTTTCCCTCTAGGTGGACAGGGAGACAATCGACTGTGGGCTCAGACTTTGAGATGGGAAAGTCCAAGAGACGCCAGCATGCATCGCTGGCTCCCACCATACGCTTCGTGACGTAGTGCTCAACTTCATCGTCTTGTTTACTAAGAGGAGTAACTTTGACGTTCTGAAGCGAGCCACCCTTCATGAGGTATTTAAACAGATACTTGATCACACGACGAGTGGAAGCTACCTCCAAGTTGATGTGTGCCTCGTATTTAAGTAGTAATGCCGAGTTGTACGGCACGACCCAGCCGTCATGTACAGGAATCGATTTGTTTCTTGAAGTTATACTCCCCTCGTTACCATAATCACGTTGATATTTTACAAAGCCCCTCTCGTCTACATGGGTTGATTCACAGGGTGGTTTGGGGAAAAATTTAGAACAGCTGCCTTTGGCAGTGTCCCAGCAAGGGAAGTCGGTCCTGTGATCCGTACCACAAGGTCCGTGGATCATGTGACGCAGAACCAACGCCCTTAATCGGCCTCCTGCCTCCTCCGGAGATGGAATGTCAGCGCGGATGAGGGAGTCTATGTCGGAAGCCTGCACAGGTCCATCGCCTTCGATTTTAAACACGATGTGGGCATGTGGAAGGCCCCGCATCTGCATCTCGATGACGTGGACTATGTAGACAGACCGACCGAACATAGCTCCGCTGCGCAGATCGCGGAGGAGTTCCAGCAGTTTGATATAGAAAACTCTGCAGGCCGTGCTGGGATCACTGCGACCGCTATTTCGAGGACAGGCTTTTTTGTTCTCCTCCCAAGTCGCACTATACGTGAATGTGAGAAAAAATGTGGGGAAGCCGAGACGTGAGACCAATGCCATAGCATTCTCGTATCGAAGTTTCATGTATCTCGGCCCCCCGGTAAACGAACTTGGGAGGTAAACCTTTCCAGCTTGTACCCCACCCTCCCCCTGAACGGTCTCGTCATTGTTAATGTCGTTGAGGACCTGACGTCCACCACGATTCGCCGCTTCAATCTCATCCAACGGCCCTATCCTCATGGCATTTTCAGCTGCCTTCGTCTGCGTGAACTTGATGTAGTTGAGCTTCTCGTCCTCGTATCTGGCATACATTTCAACCTGCCAAGCTTGAGACAGTCGGCCGAGGTGTGAGAAACGAGGCTCAGACAGCAGAAGACAACGGGAGTAGTCATACTGGGACAACTTATTGTTAAAATTGTCGCGGCGTCCAATATGCCAGCCCAAAGTTCCTTGAGGATAGAGCAGAGGGTACTGGAAGGGCTCCATGAGAGGACTAAAAAGGTTGATAGAAGTGGGTCTTCCGGATCCAACTTTCCAAACGGAAAGCTTGCGGGGCTCGTACACTGTATCGTCGGTGCTTATGACAGCGTGCACCTCAACGCCTGTTTGCCTGTCGCCTAGAACGGGACCATGGGTAGATCTACTTGTCACTTGGAAATCCAAGTGTGCGTTCACAGCTGGCTCACTACCCAAACGCCGATAGTGAGCGACGTATGGATTCTGCTGTGACAGGTATCGAGTGATCGAGTCAACAACGTCACCGTCAAGTGATCTACCCAAGGCAATATTCCGCCGTTCTTCACCGTCGTCGATGTAAAGACGGGAGCGATTCACAAACTGAACGTCCCCAGTCTTGGTGGTGAACTTTTGACCGGGGTCGGACAGGTTGTATATCTGGTGGTACATTCGACCTTCGATTTTAAAGAAAGCCAGACCACTGGGGTGTCTGTACCCACCAGATACTTCTAAGGCACTAAACGCAAACAGGTCGTTGTAGGCACGAGCCCTGTCGAGAAAACGACGATCAGAATAGAAGACTGCATCAAGGGGACTTAGATCAAGGACGTTATATGCCCCTTGTCCGCAACACCACTTCTTCCTACTCTTTTCCTCCTCAAAAAGTGGAGCGCCACAGTGTATGCACTTGAAAATATCACTGTCCCAAAGACTAATTATTTTAAGACTGTAAGCTGAGATATCATTTAACAAGTCCCCCTTCCAAGACCCCATTGGACCGTGATCAGAAATGCTTCGAGCAAGTGAAGCTGGCAAGTGGCGAAGTTCGGAAAACAAAGGATTATGTAGCCGGAAAATCTGCACCCTTTGTCGAGAGGCATCAGGATTTCGTTGGCTATATCGACCAACCGCCTCTCTGTTGACCTCAGGGTGACTCTGGCTGTAACGCTCAACAGCTGCCCTGTTGACCTCAGGGTGCGTTTGGCTATAACGGCCAACTGCAGCCCTGTTGACCTCAGGGTGCGTTTGGCTATAACGGCCAACTGCAGCCCTGTTGACCTCAGGGTGCGTTTGGCTGTAACGCCCAACAGCCGCTCTATTTACCTCAGGGTGATCTTGGGAGTATTGCTTTTTGTCATCCCTGATTTGATCAGAGTGTGTCTCCCTATACTTCTTTTTAGCCGCATTCACTTGCTCTTCCCTTGTGGTTTCCAAAGTTTTCGGACGTCCACGTTTGGCTTTTTTAGGTCTTCCGGGGCATTTTTTAGGGGCAGAAACTGTCTGGGAGGGGGGAATAGGTTGTGGATCATTATCGATACGTTCGATCGACCGGACAGTGGAGTCAATTGAAAACCTAAGTTTCATGATGCTGTACTGTCCGCCGACGAACGCACAATTCACCAATAAAAGTGAGGCTAGTGTAGGGAAACTCCCACATACGAATAACCTAGCCTTATTTTTATCCGATTCAATGTCTCTACGGCGGGTTTCATTCACGGCGTGTGAATCAAATAAATAGAAATGATCTTGGTGACGCCAAAATGCAACAGTCACCAGTTGCCCCGTGAAAAGAAACCCGCCGTCGAGAGAATCAGCGGGCATGGCATTCTCCAAACTGGATGATAAAGACTTGACCGCCTCATCCAAGCCATCAACACAAGTCGGGTACAACCCGTTAGAAACATGCGTAATTTCCTCAATGGAAATCTGTTTCTCCGCAATATCAAATGTCCTGGACAGTTCCTCGGGGAACAGGAACCTGTCAACAACGCAAAACTCACGGCGAGATTTCGCATATAGGCGATCGCCGGCCATGAGTATTTCGTCGATGGCGGATGAACTGAAACCTCCGCAGAACACTTGCCAGGCAAGGGCACAAGCTGCATTGGCCACGCACTGAGCGTTGTTACTATCAGTGAATCGTGGATCTCCCTGATGGAAAGAACCAGCAGCTACACAAGTGTAATCCATGCTTTCAAACCAATTTAAAACAAATAATTGTGTATCGCAAATTGGCAAAAAGCACAAGTCCAAATAATAGGATTAAGTGATGGTGAATCTTTAATAACCCAGTAACCTTGTTATAAAAATCAGGGTCTACCTTGCATGAAATGGGGTAGTAGGTTTCTTTTTTTTATGTTGTTTGTAATAGTACAGAGAAGCTAAATCCAAATTTTCGACCTCGGCGACCTTCCGGATCACCTCCAAAAAGCTAAAAAATCGGCAGAATTACGCAATATTTTTACGTTTGTCCGATTTTGACCCTGAAGCATCACTTTTTCATAAAGAACAACCATAATCATTTTTAAAGTATATTAAATTACCTATCATATAAGACCAAAATGGTTATTACAGGCTTAATAGTTTTCAAGATATGACTCCGCAAACAACGGCTAAAATTACCAAATTTTGAATTTTTTTAAGTTTGGCTAACGTTAACCTTTAAGCATAACTTTATCGTTATTTTTCATTAAAACAACCATAATTACTTTGAAACTGCATTAAATTACTCACAATTTAAGACCAAAATGGTGATTATAGGCCTAACACATTGAGAGATATGCCTCTTCAAGGTTTATAAAATCTTCCATAAATGTTGGTATTTTAAGATTCAACTTTCTTTTAAATTAAACTGTTTACAACATAGAAATACCTAATAACGGCTTAAATACTATGATTTTTAATACAGATATGGCTTTTGTAATAGCATAAAGATTGTATAAAAGGATTGCAATCGTATTTTTTCCAAATAAACCCCATTTAAGGGGTCAAAAACATTACTTTAATTAATTAATTTGGCCTAACACATTTTGTGTCTTAAACTTTGAAATGCTTAAAATTGGCTTAAATATTATAATTTTGAATACAATTATGGCTTTTTTAATTGCATAAAAAGCGTATAAAATGAATACAACTATAAGATATACAAATAAAGCTCATTTAATAGGTGAAAAACATTACGTAAACATTGATTTTGCGTAACAGATTTTCTGATTTCAACTTTAAAATGGCAAAAAAGCTAAAATTTAATAATTTTGAATCGGATTATGGTATTATAAATTACACAAAGAGTATATAAATGGAATACAATTCTTACTTAGAAATAAAAATCATATTTAATGAGTGAAAAACATTACGTAAACAAAATACTCAAATTATTTTTACTAACATTTTACTTTATTTGTTTATTTCCTTGCAGTTTATATATTTTTAACGCTTGAAAATGCTTTATTACACTAAAGGACTATATACTTAATGGTATAGAACCAATTTAGACTATAAAAAGTCAATAGTTTGCTTCATAATTAAAAAACAAAGTCAGATTTACAAGAATTTAAGCGAGTTTTGTTGTGCAAACCATACATTACTTGTTAATATTTTTCAAATTAATCACTATTGACTTTTTAAAACCTCATATATCAAAAGAGTACTAGTTGGAGCAAGGTAAGAAACCAAAAAATACCAATAAAAACCTATAGTTTACGCAAGAATTAAGTTTTAACACAGGAAAGAGGTAAAGACCACGCAGAGTGCCAAGGGGACTATGGACACCTGTCACTATTACCTACAAACAACCATGATATGACTCATGATGACATACAGTTTTTGGTCAGATATTGTAGATATTTGAATTATATACATCCTTCAGTTAATCCCATACTGATGGGTTGAAGCGTTCAAAAGTTATAGGACTTTGAAATTTAAAATTGAGACCACTTTTTTCACCCAAAAAATCATATTATTAGTCTTATTTTCAATTAAATTCTCGAAATTTGTTACAATTTGTCCTCTTGATTTAATGCTTAAAGGTATAGCATACCTAAAGGTTGTTTAGTCTTATTCTTATCAAGAAATTGTTAAAATTCATAAGCATGCAGGCAGGCAGATCCAGTGTAAGAGTTCCTTATCTATTATCACGCTCATGTAAGGATACCTATACCCATGTCCTTCTAGTGTCAGTGCTGTAGTTTGAACAAGTTGGTCCTTCCTCCCACTACTGCTCAATTCATACAGCACAGACAGGACAGGAGGTCCTGAGGAGTGCCAGTAAATCCTAGCATAAAAGAAGTAATATATTGCATGGCAGAACGACAGCAAAGTTGAAACCTTTTTTCACTGTTGCATCTTCATTCTTTATATCAATTCCTCTTGATAGTACTGTATAAACATTTTAATTACAATAGATTTCTTCCATAAAAAACTTATAATATGTTGTTCAAATGAAATAAATTTGTTTATAATCTTATTATGTTTCTTTTATAAAATTTGATCAAATTGAACAACTTGAATCTTAAAATACAAACATTTATGGGAGATTTTATGAACCTTGAAGAGGCATATCTCTCAATGTGTTAGGCCTATAATCACCATTTTGGTCTTAAATTGTGAGTAATTTAATGCAGTTCCAAAGTAATTATGGTTGTTTTAATGAAAAATAACGATAAAGTTATGCTTAAGGGTTAACGTTAGCCAAACTTTAAAAAAATTCAAAATTTGGTAATTTTAGCCGTTGTTTGCGGAGTCATCTCTTGAAAACTATTAGGCCTGTAATAACCATTTTGGTCTTATATGATAGGTAATTTAATATAATTTAAAAATGATTGTGGTTGTTCTTTATGAAAAAGTGATGCTTCAGGGTCAAAATCGGACAAACGTAAAAATAGTGCGTAATTCTACCGATTTTTAAGCTTTTTGGAGGTGATCCGGATGGTCGCCGAGGTCGAAAATTTGGATTTAGCAACTCGGTACTATTACAAACAACATAAAAAAAGAAACCTACTACCCCATTTCATGCAAGGTAAAATGCGTTAGGTTACTGGATTATAACAGGTATAGTCAAATTTGGTAGCAAAAATAAGAGCGAGAACCAACTCATTGTACTGCATTACCCACCAGGTATAGTCAAATTTGGTAGCAGAAATAAGAGCGAGAACCAACTAGATGTACTGCTTTACCAATAATCAGCCATTATTAATTTTTTGGGGGAAATGAGTAAAATAAAAAGTAATCTAAGGACAATACAAAGCATTAATAATATTTGAAGAAAAAAAAATTACGGAGGAAAGAAAAGTGAGAAAAACATTAAAGGTTAGAAATAAATTTGCCAAATTTTGGGGAGTAAAATTTGAAAATGAGATTTTTGCAAATTTAACTATTAATTTAGGATCCCATACTACAATACTACCATATTACACGTCTCTAGCGCGTTTCTATACGATTCGGATGACCATAACAAAGTCATTAAATTTCAATTTTATTCTCCATAAGAATAACATAGGGCTCGTAAAAACTTTCAAATTTTGACATTAAACCTAAGTTTTGGTGGTTAAGGAGTAAAGTTACGAAAAACCTGTAATGAGTAAAATTTAAAGTAAAGAAAGGAGAATACAAAGCAATAATAATATTTGAAAAAATTAATTATTTAAGTATGAAAAAATAGCGAAAACCGGTAAAGATTTGAAAGAAATTTACCAAATTTTGAAAGTAGGGCGTTTTTTGAGGGTTAAGGAGTGCGATTTTCGGAAAACGCCTAAGAGGGTTTTGTATAAAATTTAATTCCTGTTCCTGGATATACTTTCAAATCTTTTCTATCTCTTACCGTTTTCGAGCTATAGCCCTTGGAAAAAAACGTGTTTTGTCGTTTTCAGAGGTCCGCCATTTTGGATTTTTAGGGTGGTTAAAACTTGAAAATGGGACTTTTGCGAATATCACCGTTAGTTTAAGATCCCATACTACAATACTACCTAGTTTCAAGTCTCTAGCACGTTTCTAAGAGGTTTATTTTATCTTACTAATGTTGGCAATTTTCAATGCTATTTCCCATAAGAATAACATGGGGGGGAAATTCGAGATTACGGGGGGGTTAATGTTAAAAAATGCAACTTTTTAGGATTTTCCCGTGGGTTGGGGCCCAAGACCTACAAGTGTGCCAAATTTCAGATCTCTAGCTATTCTAGAAGTGCTCAAACATTTGTATCCCCCGTGAGTGAGTGAGTGAGTGAGTTACACATCGGGCTGTATAGTTATTGTAACAATGTATTTAATGTAACAGAAAACAGGTTAGGCCTACCCAACCGACTATAAAATCACAGCAGGTCTGCCTGAAACTCTGCTCAACAGCTCAGGTCCGCAGCCAATCTGCACAAGTCCGCAGCAAATCTGCACAAATAAAATTATTTTGTTCGGGCGCCGTTAATACGTCAGCAACTCGGCACCACTGCCAACCTCAGTCCCTGTTCGCAGGCGCCATCTTGCAACGCGGCCTACGATGGCTGGGTAAAGTTCCAGGGTCTGCGATAAGGTCAGGGAAACCACTAGGCCAAAAGCCGGGTCTAACCGGTATAGGACTGGCTCATACACGGGCACTGTGAACAAGTCAAAAACAAGTCACCAAAACAAACGTGCAATAATCACTACCAGGCCTACGCCGATTCTCCACACTCCTAGGGGGTCGTTGCTGACTACGCAACTCGGGCTTCGTCCTAACTATCCAATAGTTAAGCCCAGAGTGCCTAAAACACGGTGAGTTACACGACGACTTGCCAATAAAAACCACAACGCGTGTTATCACCAGGCGGGGTCTACTAGGCCACTATAGTCCAATACACAACTCTAATGCCCAAGCTAAGAATCAAACAGTTCACTCAATAATCGTACCACATAATAATATACAAGTACCCTATAGGTAGAGTGACTACACTACTAGTAGCTGGTCTCAATAAATACCAAGCCAAACAAGCAAAACTAAATGGCAATTGCACTATTAAAATATTGAGCTACTTAGTAGCAGATAAATAAATATTAAATACGTTCCAAACACTAGATAAACATATTATCTGATAGCCGGTACTCCGCTATCCAAGCTACCAAGCTAACGTGTTGGATTACTAAGCAAGCTGTTCAGGTTAAATTAAAATAATTAAATGATTAATCAATACCAACCCTACTGCTACTACCACTACTGCTACTAT